GAAGGAGAGGAAGATGATATCTTAAATCAATGCCGGGAAGAGGCATCAAGAAAAGGTGACCTATCACCTATGCATAGTGGAAAAATAAAAAAAGCACATACAAGGAAAAATAGTTTGGACGACAAGGTCAGTGATTTTTTAAATGTTAGGCGACCTCCAATGAGAGTTGTCAAACAAAAGAAGGATGCCCCAACTACCTCAACGAGGTCCAACCGTTCAAAAAAGAAATGATGATTTTTGAATACATTTTGAACACGGGCGAGGAAAACAACAAAGAATTACAAATTGAAGATTTTACAAGTTTGGAAAACAAGGGACAAGATTTTAATTCCTACTACATTCTATTTTATCATTATATAAGTATTCTCATTTGTAATATCATCACAGAGTATGTTATAAACTCTGTGATGATCATTGAATATTTGGTACTCTCCAGTTCTTATTTTTTACATGCGTGCTAGTAGGTGAGGCCTTTTCATTGCCTCAATAGGATTAGTAAGGTAAGGTTTAGCCCGGTTTGAGTTGCCTTGGTCCTATGCCTTTGGAAAAATATCCACACGGCTATGAGATTATATGCCCTCGTGAGACATTGCCGGCAGCTACACCATGAATCCTCTACATGAGGCTGCCATCATAACGCAATGTGAGGCGCAGAGGAGTGATTATATAGCCAAGGCATATAGGTAACAATACTGGTGCTATTGTCCCCCTTATTTGTACTATTCCTAATTGTTGTACTTTTATTTTCATTTATTAATAAAAAACTAGCCCTAGGCGCTTGCCTAGCGGATTGCCAAAAAAAAAAAAAAATACTAACCTAGAGTAGGAATTTCCTTACCAAAACTTTACCTTCCTCTTAGCATTAGCAGAAACTTGTTTGCGCAAAAACACCACAATCATACTAGCTAACATAGATTTCTTATCATGCAAAAACATTGTGAAATATATGTGAGAAAACTTTTACAGAGTACAGTATGTAAGGAGTAAACTTATTTAACATCATCCAAGACTCTCTAACTATAACCAAGTCTGTTATACATCACTATTATAAGTCCTCTCATTATAGTTCCACAACATCTTCCTTACTCTAATAGCCAATGGAAAAAAATAGACAGCAACATCAAATGTAGAAGAACGCTAGCAACAGAAGTAAACCATAGGTTCTTTCCCATCCTTAATGAGTCCAAACTTAGGGGTGTTCATAAAAATCCGAAAATCCAAACCAAACCGAAAATCAAACCAAACTGACCAAAAAAACCGATACTTTTTGGTTTGGTTTAGTTTTGGTTTTGAAATTTAAAAACCGATCAAATTTGGTTTGGTTTTGGTTTTAATAAAAAAAAAACGAACCAAATCGAATATAAGAGTAGCTATTTTAAATTTATTATTACACCTATATATATGTATTCTTTTATACAAAATTTGAAAAAATTTATAGTAAATGTTAATCGTTTGCACTTTTAGAACAGATCTTTACCTTTACATTCTAGTTTGATTGGTAGTTTTCTTTTGTTAAGTGTAAGAATCTATTTCATGTTAAAAATAATATATTTTTAATAGTCCTTAAATTATTCATCACTATTTGATTCAATTATCATCAATATATCTTGGTAAATAATAGATTTCTCAAAGGGCAATTGATTTGATAGTGCTACGTTGAAAATGTGGTCGCCGAAATATGTGTTTGGTAGTGTATGTCTTATATTTAAGAAAAAACCGGCGAAAAACCGAAAAACCGACATAAATCGAATCAAGAAAAAACCAACTTAATTGGTTTGGTTTGGTTCTAATATTTGAAAAACCGAATTACTTGGTTTGGTTTATTTCTAGGGAAAAACCGATCCAAACCGAACCATGAACACCCCTATCCAAACTTATAAATATTTCTAACTATTTGCTGCTCTGATGTTGTATACTGATAGAAGCCAGTGATAATAACGAGGGATTGAAAAGCCACAAATGAAAATGGATTATGCTCACCTAGAATGCAAAGTGCTTTCTTCCAATTAAGTAAAAACTGCTTCATCCGAAATGCACGCCGAACAGAGTCATAGTTTATGTGCATATAAGATGATCGAAAAATAAGACACTTCTTAAATGAGAAAGCTTACCATTAAATTTCAATATCGGTCTGTTCCCATTAGTAACAAGCTCAAACATTATGCAATCTCCTTCCTTTAAGCACTTTGCATTACGGAATTCATGCCATCCACCTCTGATAAATACACTATTGCCAAAAGAACATAACCTAACGTTCCAAGACCTTTGTAATTCATCTCTAATAATCAAGTCGCATTTCTTGTTGGTGAGACCATTTGCAAGTGCAAATTGTTTGGGAATGTACTGAAATGGTTAATAACCAAGTGCACAGATAATCAAACAGTGGTTTACTTCATATTTTCATCAAGAAACAAAGAGAAAAAAGAAAAAGAAAAATGAAGTTCTTGAAGGGTCTTTGTTGCAAGATACGTTTTAGACTTACCAAGAGATCATTTGAGAGGTAGTAGGGTCTAACAGTGCATACAAAATGAGATCGACTAAAAGGCTTGTGAGTGTCAGTTCCTGCATAGGGAAATGCCTTGCTTGATGACTTCATGCTGGGGTTTGGTTTGCCTGTTACACAGTTAATTGTATGCAAAACCATGTCAAGAATTCATGTGTGACAAAGGGTTACAAGAAAATTTTGAATAGCATCTAAACATCCACCCTGTATTTTGGACAAAGGGCAGCCCAGTGCACTAAGCTCCCGCCATGCGCAGGGTCCAAAGGAAGGGCTGGACTACAAGGGTCTATCGTATGCAGTCTTACCCTGCATTTCTGCAAGAGGCTGTTTCCACAGCCCACCCTGTATTTTGGATAATTTTCAAAATTAGTAGGAGCTCGCTCTCCAAATAGACCATACTTGAAATTCTTTTGGCTTCCAAATAACAAGGAAATTACTAATATAACAAGAACAATGTTATGAAAATAAAGTTAAAAGATTTTACTAGATTCCAAAACATTGAAACAAGAATAAGGTCAGATGTATTAACTGTTTTAAGCCATCAATGCTTATATTAATACAACATATTTAAAATCACCACCCTCCCTCAACTTACACAAGAAATGAAGAAATTCAAAAGCAAGCAAACTAGAGAAAGGATAGCACACTTTGGTAGAGTTTAGTAGGACGAGTAAAAGTGCTTTTAGGTGTTAAAATGACTATTATATCTCTAGAAACATTGAGAAAGAACTTATAGAAGACCATCTTAATAAACGCAAACACATACAACAAAAAGGCCTTCTACAGAGCTATTTTATGCCTAGCTATTTTACTCTTTTCAACAAAAATACTTTTGCAGATATTATTCGTCAAATATTGTTTAACGTATATGAGCTAATTTCTTTAAACTTTTTAAATAACAAAATATGAAAATTTATCCTCATGGAACCGGGGACAGGGCTTTTAGAGGACTCAATATATAAACTTGAGTGAGTAAACAGAGCAAACAGCCCCTTTACATTGGACTATAGCCTATGAAAGACAAAGCACTCTCCTTATAACAAGCAAAAGCAACTAATAAAGAAAGGACACTGTTTTTCTGTATGAAGAAGAAAGGACAATGTTATATAACAGTTTAAATACACTATTTACTAAAGAAATGTATAAATAAGGACGTATATGGTATACAACTAAATTGTTTGCTACAAGATATACTTCCGTAGAAAATGTTTCACAAAAACAATCATTTCATAAATCATCTTCCACTGTTTTGTTGGGTAACACCACCATACACAATTTTGCAAAACATAGTGTCATGGTGCATATAACAAAGAAACAATGTTGTTGAAAAGTAAGAGGTTGCTTAAATGAGAAAACTTACCATAAAATTTCCTTATTGGTTTATCTCCATTAGTAACAACCTCAAACATAATGCAATCGCCCACCTTTAAGTCATTTGCAGCATGGAATTCATTCCATCCACCTACAATACAAACTTGAGAACCATAGGTAGCTAGCCTTAAATTCCATCGCCTTTGTGTTTCATCGCTAATAATCAAACCACAATTCTTGTTGGTGAGACCGTTTGCCCGTGCAAATTGCATAGGAAGGCGCTGAAATGGTTTATAACGATTTAGTACATATCATATGCTTATCTTTTCGCTGTATATAACTCCAATAAGCAAAGAGTT